GGGCTTGCGGCAACCACATGTGACGACCCCAGGCTGGACTCCGCTTCGTCCACGGTGAAAGCCGATCCGGCGATCCACAGCGCAAAGTTGATGTATTTCCTCAGAGACCAGCACGGATCAGCTCTAGGCATGACGAAGCTGATATCGTCCTCTTTTGGAAGATCAAACAAAGTAGTTTCACTTTCACAACGAAACACACAGCGCCTTCACGACATGGCTGCAGCAACAATACTACAGCGAGAATAAAAGTTAAGTCATCTTTCTTTGCGTGAACATTTGGGTGGCATTATGCAAATCTTCCCACATCGTGACGTAGACATGTGGGGGCGTGTTTAAACAAGCCGTTTTAGGTAGGCGTGGTTGACTCTTAACTTTGATAAAGAATATCTCTTTGGATTTGAGACTTTAGTCTTTGCAACTTTACAGATCTTCTTTATGCACTAAGAGCTTGTGACACTCCAAAGAGAAAGGAAACATTGAAATCGCATCATATGACCCCTTTAAGTCAAAACATGTAAATTTATATAGTCGCCAGTGGCGATCTCAGCAAAAATATTACTCGCAAATTAATATTTTTGGTCACAAATGCTACCGTTTCAGGTGCAGTCTGGAGCCCTTTAATATGCTGATTTGCTGCTCAAGACACATTTCTGGTTATTATCAATGTTGAAAACAGTAATGCTGCTTGATATTTTTTATAGAAACCATGGTACGTTTTCAAATGTTGCTGTTCTTACAGAAAGCCTATAATCATTGAGTTCACCTTAGTCTACCTTCTCTCTCTTGCCGTATTGTGTGCTCCTCCATTCCACCCTCAAACCACAAATGGCGCGACATCAAAGAGACTCACATGTTTAGTCCGCCTTTGACGCAGGAACTCTGTGATGATGTTTTCAACAGGGCTAGCCGACTAGCGCAGGTGTGGGCTTTGGGTATCAGTGACGGTAGCCTTTGAACTTTTCCGCCCTTTCTCTTATGCCGGATTCTGGGATTGTTGAGTGCTTATTTTTCGTTCCGTCAGTGGTGGTCAGTCAGTTTCTGCTATGCTACACTGCCCTATTATATCACTGGGACACATTACAGTGGTTATTCTAAGATTACAGTATGCCATTTCCTATATTTGATGTATAATAAAGGGCAGGACATCAGGATATTATCGAATCACCTAAATTGATTCATTTTGCTGATTGAGTTACTGCGTTTGAAGAGCTTCCAATCCACAAGTTACGTTACACTGCTAAACGAGAGTGATTTATTAAGGGCTCTGCATTCGCTTATGGCTGTTAGCTACAGCACGTCAAAGCATCAAAAGGTTTGAGTGTTATACCCACTGGCATGTTTTCTGAGTTTTGAATAACCTGTTATTATAGGGCTGGGTTGGCTCAGTTTGGCTCATGTTTGAAATTAACCAAAGGCCTTTTTTTTTTTTTTTTTTTAAGTGTTTGATAATGTTCATCATCTAAAACTGTTTTTTTTTTTTTTTCTTTCTTCACAGTGACATAAAGAACAACATAATCGCACATATTGAACCGGGAGCTTTTTATGGACTTTTCGCCCTCAAAAGACTGTAAGTATTAATCTGTCTAAAAACTGAAAAGTTTTTCTTTTGCGTTATTGAAACGTTTCTAACGATTGTCAAAGATTGACACGGATCCACGAAATTGATTAAAAACGCTGTATTATGCATGCCAGGCCAGTAGTTGGCGATGTCACATTGTAAAGAAACACTAAGCGCCTGCACCTATAGATTGAACACATGTATATGTGCATTACGTCACCGGTTTCACAAATTTGTATTTTCAGAGTCGAGATGATAACGGTATTTTCTAAAACTTGCATTTTGAAACCCGTTCTCAAGTTTTTTCCGTTTGCAGACCCCCAAAATACTGTTGCTGCGTAAATGAATGTTTTTTGTTTTTTTTCCGTTTAGTTTAACTTCATGTATTAAGATAACTGAAACGAAAACTGTTATATAAGTAATAAAATTAAAACAATAAAAAGATTTATAGACAAATTAAAAAATAATAAAATTACCTAATAAATATAAATATATAAAGGAGTAATTAAACAATAACTATTTATTTTATTATAATAAAAAAAAAATATTTTTATTTTTAATGCTTAAATCCTGACATTAGTAATTTTGTTGCAGTTTTAAAACTTACTAAAATTAAAAGGACATTGCCAATGTTAAAAAGACAAAAACATGTAATTTTATTATGTACAGTATATGTGTGTGTGTGTGTATATATATATATATATATATATATATATATGTGTATTGATACTTGACCTTTATGTTCCTGTTTTACTATCTAATTGTTTGGTCATTAATTGATTTCTTCATTAATGTCTTTTTTCCCGTCATTTTGTCCATTATAAATAATATAAAAATATAAGTACATTTATTAGAATAAATTATATAGATTTTCTTTTTAAAGATTGAATCCTGACATTGGTCATTTTGTTGCGGTTAATAAAACTTTAACTAAAATTGCAATGAAAGTATAAGAAGTAGTACTGAAATAGCACTGGTTGACACCTCTGTTGCGGAAATGCTCTGATTCAAGTGAAAACAGCTCCAGATGGACGCTGTCCAGACAGCACTCTGCACAGCATGACTGATGCTATCGACTTTAACATGCCAGTAGTTGTGTGTGTGTGTGTGTGTGTGTGAGAGAGAGAGAGAGAGAACTGTTGAGACTTGGAGAAAGAAAGGATAGTTTGTTCTGTGTTTTGTGTGTAGTGAAGTAAGCGGAGTGCATATATGGCGAGCGGTCGGTTATATACGTTCTCCTGTGAGGGTTCGCGTGTATGGTGCGGCCGTGTAATATGACTCACTCCTTGCCAATATAAACTTCTCTTTGGCTGGCTAAATGGAGAAGTATGCGGCTCCCCTGAAAAATAATCGCTGTCGTCCAAACTTTTGAGAGAGAGTGGACAAGATGAATTTTCACAGTTTTAGAGCCCAAGTTACTTTGTCAAATCCAGAGGAGAAAATGTCAAAGTGTCCTGAACTTTAAAAGAAATTGCTGATGCTAATTACCAAAATGCATTCATTAGTTATTAGCTTGAGAAGATTATTGTGTGCGAGATGATAATATCTTAATGTATTATCTAGAAGATGGTATTATGTGATCATGATTGAGCATTATTCATACTTTATTAAGCTTTAAAATAATTATGTTCATAACTGCAACAAAATTAAATGTCAGAGTTTAATCTGTAAAAAGAGAAATCATTTATATTATTTAAAATATTAAACAATAAATATTATATAATTTAGATTATTTTTATACGAGGTTACATACAAAACATACATGTAAAAAAAGAAATAGTCTTCAGCTGTATGTTCCTGCTTAAGTATCTACTTTTTTGATATCTCTTCGTGAATTTCTTCAGTTTTTTATTATTTTAAATATAAATTATCTTGATTTAATTGTTACATCAATAACAGTAGTTATTATTGTTACAAATACACAATAGTTGTATCAAATTTTTCAACTTTTTACCCGATCATACCGTACTTCTCAAAAGTTTGGAAACATTATGATTTTTAAGTGTTTTTAATGAAGTCTCTTATGCTCACCGAGGCTGCATTTATGTGCTCAAAAATACAGTAAAACACTGATATTGTTTGCAATTTAAAATAACAGTTTTTATTTGAATACATTTTAAAAGTGTAATTTATTCCTGTTTTGTAAAGCTGAGTTCAGCATCATTACTCCAGTCTTCAGTGTCACATGATCCCTCAGAAATCGTGACACTTAATGTTTATGCAGAAACCATAATGTTTGTGGTGTGTGTGTTTATTCTTAATAGAAATGAATGGGTTTTTTTTTTCAGAAAATGTGCTTTAAATTGATCAAAAGTGACAGTAAAAACAATTGTAATGTTACAAATAAATGCTGTTCTTTTGAACTTTCTGGTCATCAAAGAATCCTGAGAATCCAACTGTTATTAATAACTGAACCCCAATAATAAATTAGCAGCAAATCATCAAATTAGAATGATTTCTAAAGAAGCATGTAATATGTCACCCATTAGTAAGGGATAGAAGTAAGCAATAAGGGAATAGAAGAGAAAAGTACCACCATTCACCTTTTACACAACAAATAATAATTTAGACTATGAATAATAGTCATTCATGCAAGGGCTTTATCAAAAACGCGAGCCACACATTCCTGCTGTTGTTAAGCTCTCTGGTATGACAGCCACTTCCATTTCCATTGTGAGTCACATGAGTCAAATACATGTTCATACAAAGGGTTTGTATTATGGTAATGATAAAACCACAGTATGGGACTCGCCATTAAATTCAAATTTCAAACCATTTATGCTTTTCTATGCTCATTATTTTTCTTCTTTTATTGTCATTCTACATTCATACCCATGCACTTCTCAACCGCACATTTATGTGCTTTTGAATGTTGGAATGAAGCTTTTTATAAATCATAGTGCTGTCTTTTTTAACACGTGGCTTGACATGAAAGCGAGTGATTAGATGGGGTTTAGAGACATGTTGAGACATAAAAACATGTTGTGTCCTGTATGAAGAAGACTGGAATGACTGCTAGATTGACAGGAATAATTATGTTTTGTCTAGGATGCAGTGGTAGTTTGGCTGTCAATATTGAAAAAATACAGGCAGGATGAGATCATTTCCTAACTGGAGTTTGGTGAAGTGTGTCTCCTGTTTTTATAAGAGATGTTTTGCTTAATAAAGGCAGTTATACATGGCTGTATGGATGCGGTTTTACTCGATCAAGACACGTGTTGTTTTAAACCAAACCTAGTATAAATGTATTGTTTATTGGTGTAATTAATTGAAATAAATCTGAAATAAAATATAACTAATGGATGAAAATCTTAAGCTTAAAAAACCTCAATTACAAATTTGAGAAATGTTGCCTTGGCAACCAGTTGAACAAAAATAAATTTGAAGTACTAAAATGACTAAACTTTTTACTAAATAAATAAAACGGAAATAAACGTAAATTAAAGCTTATTAGAAATATTAAAATCCGCTAAGGAAAATGGCAAACACATATAACAAAGGTACTAAAATTTAAATTTTGAACTGAAAAATTATTTCGGAAAATAAAAAAGAACTGCTAATTCAAAATATCTATAAATATTGTTCATAAATAATATGAAAATAACACCGTTCAAGACCAGAGTGGAATCAGTTATGGTGTCATTTACAGCTCAAAGGCCAAAAAAACTAAACGATTATAATAATAATAATATTGTTCGGTTATTATAATAAATTTGATAGATCTGTCGTCAATTTCCTCCTGAGGTGTGAAGGCTATATTTAGACTAAAGATGTTGCAAATTGTATGTAGTTTGTGTGTATTAGCGGTTTTAGTTAGTTAGAAAACGAGTGAGTAAACACATAAATACACAGTTTGACCAATTCATACGTCATTAATAGTGGTTCACTTCCGTGATTTAGTACCTTTGCGTTCACATCGGAAGCGAATCGTACCCCAAACCACCCTTTTCCGGCAAACTCGAACCCTTAAATATTAAATAACAGTGCCTGTATGAGTTTACACAACACTTTCTCTTATCTTTTTTTTTTTTATCTTGCAGAGACTTGTCCAAAAATCTGATCGGCTGCCTCCATGTGGACGTCTTCAAAGGCCTCACAAACCTTGTTAAACTGTAAGTCATGTTTTTTGTTTTTTTTTCTACTCTATGAACTTGATATGGAGAATTATTTAAAATACCGTTAATGTAGGTTATTTATAAGCAAGTGTTGGGGAAAGTTACTTTTTAAAGTAATGCATTGCAATATTGCGTCACTCCCTAAATAGTAACTAATTGTGTTACTTAGTTACTTTTTATGGAAAGTAATGCATCGTGTTACTTTTGCGTTACTTTTTCTCATCTTTGCTGGGCTTGCTTGTTTGTTTTTAATATTAAAAAAATATATTTTTGTCAAATGTAAAAGCCCTTTCATAAGTTTTACTTATTAGTATGGTCGAATTGGATCATCGGAGGTCAGCAGCAAAGACAGAAATGGGATTAAATACATAAAGGATATTTGTGCTATTTAACATTTAATTGCTGGTTTGCTTCATATTCTGAGTTTGCATTTGAGTAAATGCACGTTCACATTTAATCTAGAGTAATCTAAGAACAGAAGAGCTGTCAGTCAGTAAATGGGATCGTTTTGCTAATAAACGTTCTACGTTTCTTATTTATTTTACTTATTTCCTGTTATTTCCTGTTACTTATACTTGTTTACTTATTTCCAGTTTTGTATACCTATTAAACTTTTATGTAAGTTATTTGTTATTTTATACACAACCCTAACCAGAATTACAGTCCCGTTTTTTTTTTTCTGACATTTTAGACAACAGATATGACACTTTTGCCCTAGTGGTAAAGAAAGTTGTCCACGGAATATTAAAATAATTTAGCACAGTTTTCACAGATGTCCAGAGCAATGTGAGATATTCCATAATAGTATTAATAATAATCAATTGAATTTATCAGCACCTTTTAAGACACTCAAACAATATAAAACTACACTGTAAAATATTTTTTTTCTTTGAAGTTGTAAATAAAACAAAGCAGGGTTATTTTAGTTTCTTTGTGATAATGTTATAGTTTTGTATTCATATTTTTAATTCGTTTTTTTATTTTAATTTTAAAGTTGTATTAATTTAGTTGTTATTTTTTTATATTTCTGTATAGTTTTCATTAATATTTATTATAGTTAGTATTTTTATTATTTTAGTAAATCAAAATAAACTAAATGAAAATGAGAAATGTTGCAACTAGCTGAAATAAAATGCAATATAAAATTTTAAAAATGCAATATATCTTTTTTTTATGTAAATAATAAAATACAATATACATTTTATATATAATTTTGTCTTATTTCAGTTATATTTTATTTTATTTCAAGTAACATGTTTTATGGTTTTAGTTAACTTTAATAACCCTGAAACAACGACTATTTGAAGTACATTTTACAAGAAAATACTATTTCAGTTTTTCTACTTT